AAGGTTAAAAATATAAATAATGTTTGTTTGTAATCAGTAGAGCAACTGCTCCTTTAGCAGAAAGGTAATTTTCCTTGAAAGAGTATATTACTTAGAAGTCATAGCATGGAAGGCATTTAACAATAAATTTATATTCAGATACTTCTGACATGGAGAATTATTACCCCAGAATACTGTACAGGGAATTAGGAAATAGTTTTAAAATCTTGGTCAAGGCCATATAGGAAATCTGTGGCAGAGTCAACAAAACATGAGAATAGTAAGGGCTGTTCCTGTTCACCACTTCCCTCTCTGATCATGTGCCTTACATAGATTGTAGAGCCTTGCTGTCAGACCAAAAACTTGCTTAGTCTGATGCCCTAAAAGCTGCTTTGAAGCTAAACACAAAACTCTTTAGTTATTGGCAGTTGGGATATGATTCCATATGATCTTTTAGCAAAGCAAAAGGACACATTTATATATCACAGTGAATGTAAAGGAGCTATTCAGAGAAGCCCAACTGCACTCCACACCAATAAATCTACTTATTCCATCTGCTTAAAATGCCCTGAAAATATTTTTAATAGATTTTAAAAATATATAAATATATGTTAAGCCATGCAGCTTTCCTAAAGAGTAGAAATAATATTAAGGAGCAATATAAAATGACCAGCCCACTTTGCCACGAATAAATGGGAAAGTAGAAGTCAGGGGTGTTAAGTACCCCGTATTTGCAACCACAGGCTGGTCAGAAGTAAGAAACAGAATTTCATGTGGCTCACCTATATTTTTAAGGGGTTTATATTGTTTGAGTATGTGCAGCTTTTCTGTTCGTGACAAGGAGAGTTGCATACTGTCTCCTGACCCCCCAGGTCAGCAGCACTGAAAGGGTCACATCTGCAGTTTGAATGGTCGAGGTTAACAGTCTGAATAAAATAACAAAACTGAAACTGTTACTCATCTAAATCAACCTTCTGCAATCAGCAATCGTTTTGGCCAATGTTTTGTGTATTCTGCCAAAATCTCTCAGGAGTGAAAGATTCAGCAGCCCCATTAAATACTACTCAAGACTGTGGCTTTCACAAGTACGAACTTTTTTTTCTTTTTCTGGTTATACAGATAATGTATCTCTGGTAACCTTGTACATTTTCTGAAAGAAGAAACTATGGTGAATACATTTTCTGTTTGTTCTGTTTTGCATTTGTTTTTCCTCTTCAGAAACAACTCAGTTGTGAATGACCCTGTGTGATAAGTAAGAGAAATTCAGTATGCAGTTTTGGTGCTACAAAAGGGCCCACTGGCAATTTCAATGCCTATTTCCCAAGTCCTCGGAAAGGTCATTGAGGGTCTCCATTACATGCAGTCTAGAGCCTGCTACAATTTTCTCATACAATTTAATCTGCTGCCTGGATGGCCTCCAGTGTACAAGCAACTGACAATCTACAGTCTTTGGAATTGATTTCCTGGAATTGTGGAATGCCTACTTGGCCTCCAGATGACAGATGTGTGCTAGAGCTCTCAGTGCTGCTGCTCTACAGAGATGAGAGAAAATTTGCCTCATTTCAACATTTTCTGTAAGCTTTTAAATCTTCTTTTAGTGATTTTAGGGATGAAGTTATCACTAAGATGCAAGCATCATTCTGAGTGGGAATCATTAATAAAAATCCTTTGCTTTCTGTAGCCTTTATCATGTAGGGACCTTTTTGGGCTTATAAATATACTCTAAGACAAACACTGTATGAATTTGTTAACTCTTGTCATAGTCATTTTGCACTTGGGGAACCAAAAATTAAAGGGCAGATAAATCAGTTGCCAGAGTTCACATACCAGGACACTGTCACCATCAGAAAAAGTTTTTCATTTTAGAGTTTACTTCAAGCAACTAATGTGGATTCATGCTATAGGTCTCTTGTCTTTACTAAGATTGTACCTGTACTTTATTTAAAGCACATTAAAAATGTGTGTTCTTCTTAATAAACAAAATATTTACATGAGTGGGAGACTGAGAAAATAACTTGAGATTTCTAATCTATGTTCCAGTTTTAAGACCAAGTATTCCTCCTATTTTTCTTCTGTATGTAGCAAGTGCTCCTAAATCTGGAGTATAGGTGCCATTCTCTTTCTCTTATAGTGCATAGAAGTAAACTCCAAATGCCAGACTGAGACTCAGCAGAAAAAACCCAAATGATGAATGAACATTGGAAAAAAATTTGGGGTTTTCATTGAAGAAAACTAATATAAACAATTCCATGAGAATAGGTGTTTTTTCTTTGATGACCGACTATGCAGTCAATCTGAAACCTGAGTGACCTGCTCTCTTTTAAAATCTAGAAATGTTTCTGCATGCATAGAAGTTTGGAACAGAAAATAGTAAAATAGAAAAGCTGGGATTCTTAATATGAAACTCCAGCTCAACTAGCATAGTAATGGATGGTTAAAATGGCTCATTTGATGGAAATACAAGGGCACACATGGTGGCTTGTCCAGAAAGAGAAAATGTACACCTGATGACAAAACAGAGAGATTTCCATTGCCATCCCAAGCCAGAAATACCTGTTGTATAAGGCTTGAATTAATTTTTGGATTTTGTAGGGTAGCATTTTTTTGGGATGTTTTTTGCTTTCTTTGAAAAACTAGCCAAATGTTGTAGGGTGTGGAACTTCATAAAAACAGGGGGGGAAAGTTTATGTAGACTTCAACTAGAAATGAATATAACAGCTTACAGTGAGAGAATAAGTAAGTAAATAAATAAATACATATTTATATATAACGTCAGCCTTGATACAGAAAGGAGAGAAGTAGAGGAAGCAACTAGAGAGGTTAGAATACCAGCTTTGTGCTAAATAGGATGTGGACAAGAACATGAAAGAGAACTTGAGTGAGCATGAAATGGAAGTATCCATGATCCTCTTGAAGGAAAGGAGGGAGAACAGCAAAGTAGAAGAAAAAGGATTTCAAGAAGGCAGACTTCAGCAAACTCAGGGTACTGGGAGATCACATGTCATGGAAGAGAAATTTAAAGGAATTAAGCACTTCCTGATGGAAAACATACTCTCTGGAATTTAATGATCCCAGTGCAAGGAAGAATAGCAAGTATATAACAAGAAGTCATCTGGTTAAATCATATACATTGACCTCAAACATGTGAGTCATACAGGAAATGAAAATTATGTGAGATTACTAGGATTAGTATAAAGGAATACATTAGTATGTAGGGACATAAAAAAGAAAATGGCACAGAAGAATTTATAATTAGGAGGAGCAAGAAACCTTTTATAGGTGACCAACTGAAAAAAATCTGTTTTTATAAAGGACATTACTGTTTATGACTATGGAGTTTCTACTTGAATTTTATAAGGAATAAGAGAAAGACTGGGAAAGTATTCCATACTAAACTGAGAGAGAAAACTAGTAATATCTTAGATCAATATGATGCCTTTTTTGTTTCAGTATTCACTAGAGAAGTCTGCTGTAATCATGTAGTTAATATAATTATTATGAAAAACTAAGGACCATGATCTTACAGACTAATAAAATCGACTCTAGCTTGTTTAGAGCACTGGCCAGAACTATTTAAAGTTGTCAGCAGGCACCTCTGATAACGTAGGAGATGCTCTCTAAGGCTCTAAGAGAAAAAGGAAAAATGTAATGCTTAAAGTATAAAAAAGAAGACAGGGAATTTTTTGTCAGCCACTTTGACTGCAATTCCTAAAAAAAATGCTCAAACAAATAAAATGGACAAATAATAAAATGAATTATATGTAAACATCTGGAAGATAGCAAAGAAATGGCTGACATACAGAATGGATCTGTTGAGAGCAACCCACATGCAAACAATCTGTTTTCCTTGTGCTTTGGGCCAATAGATCTGTGAACAGAAGAGCAATAATAAATGTTTTGCATCTTGACCCCAGCAGATTTTCTGACCATCTTTACGTATCATATATATGCCACATTTTCCTGAGCAAAGCAGGAAAACTTAATTTATGAGGAAATTTGAAGAACTGATGGTGTTTAGTCTATGAGAAAAGTCTGAAATGAAATGTGTCTTTAGATAAGGCTTCTAAGCTACCCCAGAAAGGAGAGTAATTTTTCTCCATGTTCTGCATAGACAGGACAAGAAATAAGAGTTCTAAAATGCAGCCAGAGAAATCCAGGTTAGATATTGGGAGGAATAAGTAGAAATAATGAAGCACAGGCATATCTTGTGAAGAGATAATGTAAAATTTCTGTTACTGGAGTTTATTATGTTCACGTTACCTGTGCTTAGAAATGTTACTGATACTTTGCCCTGCATCAGGACAGTAGATAGATGAGATGACTTTCAAGATACTTTCCAGTAGCATCTTATGTCAAAATTTTGCTGTTCTCCAGCCTTGGCTGTCTCAATCTTGTGTCTATGTTAAACATTTTTTAGACAAGGGTAATGGCAACCAAGCACTTTTCAGCATTCACTTTCAATGTTCACTTTAATAACATTTTGTGAGAAGGAAAGAGGTATTCTGATTTTTGTAATGCAACCGTCAGAAAGAGCTTCTCTGTATTAATGTAAAGTTGGGAGCAGAAACTATTAGTCTTATATGCAGTTGATATTTAAACCAAAAATAGCTTTCATGTTTTCAGTGAAAAGTCACCCAACTGTATGCTATATTAATTTGCCCTTGTTCAATGTTTTTCCTCCACAAGCTTTTTAAAATACTGTATTGGGGGCTTCAAACTGACTTCTAATTTAGTTAGAAATTTTTGGCTCCACCTAACAAAATTCTGAAAGTTGTATCTGTAGTTCAGGTAAAAATTGTGATATCTGTGCAAAGTATCATCTCAGCAAGGACATCACAAGGCCTTATCACTGCCCTACTTACAAGAGAAGAACTTATAGTATTATTGTTATTGCCCAGTAACAGAGTAAGTCACAGAACAGTGTGTGAACTGTTTAATAAAAAACAAGTTTCAGATCTACAGTGACTTGAAAAAAATCAGCATACTTAAAAAAAGAAAGAACCAAATAATACACTTTTCCAGAAGTTAGGCCTTGTTTCGCTTTTATTCTTGTTTCCATTTTTGTCTTCATGTGCACATTAAATCAATGTGAAATAAATATTATAAACAAAAAACCAAATTCTTTGTACTAAACATAGCTACAGAACTGGAAGCCTTATGGGTGGAATTTATTATATTCCTAGCCACAGGAGAACAGAGATGGAGCTAAATGTTAGATATAGTGAAGGAGAAAATTGGCAAGAGTATCATGTTATCAAGGATGGATTTGATCTGCTAGAAATTAATGGAAGATAAATCATTGAAGATCATGATTAATAAATATTTTTTCCATTTTTTAGAGTGTTAACTTCAAGAAGTGGTTATTTTAATTTTCTTTTTAGTAAAGAGGATAGGTTTTTTTATGAATACAACAAATAGGTAACTTAGAAGTAGTCATAACTAAAATTACATTTATTTTAATCTGGGTTGAGAAAGGGAAAGACTTGGTGGGAAAAAGTGATTGGAAAGACTGAAGTTATGAAAACAGCTCATTTTTGTGAAGCAAAATGTAAGCATTGTCAACAGTTGTTAAATCTCAAGATAAAAAGAATTCACACTTATTTCAAAATGAAAATTACTTTCTTCAGAGTTTCTACATCAAATGAATGAAGCGTTGTCTGTTGAAGTAGAAGAGGAGGTGTGGGTCTGATGATCTTCCGAGTGAGACATCTTCAGTGTCATTGAAAGTTAGCCACAATGAAAATGTAATTCCCTACCTAGGTCTTCCTGCAGCTCTTCAACTTCGAATTCCTTTCAGAGCATTCTCAGTTCAGCTTTGAAAACCACAATATGACAGATGAATTGGTGACTGCACCTTAAAAAAAAAAAAAAAGGAAGAAAAGAAAGAATGAAGTCAAACTCTTGAACTTGTTAGAAAGTTGCAATCTTCTTCTAAAAACATCATATTCAGTGTAGCACAAACTGAGCATTTTGAAAGTGATTGAAGCACTTTGCCCTGAATACTCTCATTCAGACAGATTTAAATTTGTGGTTTCATATTAGATACTACAAGTGAAGAGACAGAGGAAAAAAATTAAAGGAACAACTAAAAGAATCAACTTTGACATTAAGGCAGATGGTTCGTTGCACATGAGAAATGATCCAATAATGGATACAAGTATCTGTAGAGAAAAATAGGTTCCTACTTAATGCTATCGATTTTGTGTTTGAAAAGAAAAGCAAAGACTATTGTGTCCAGGTTAGTATAGCTGTTGCCTACTAGCTCAAAAGAAAACCAGAGGAGGGATCTTTTCATTTATTCTAATGATGGAAATGAGGAGAATAAAGGTATTTACATTAAAAATCACTTGAAACATTTCTATGGTAGATGTTCAGTATACATTGATAGTACAGTTGTGAAATAATGGAGCATTTCACACCATCATAAGGCATATTTTGGGAGTTCAAAGATTTTCCTGCAACCATCTGTCTCATACTTGCTTGATTAAAAAAAGAGGATTGATGCAGCACCTTCTCAACAACATTCAGAGGAACTCTACACAAAATTTTGGACCTGATTTTAATCTACAGAAAGATGACTTGCATAGTACAGAGTGACCTAAAAACTTTTCATTTGCACCAAGTCCATTTTGCAGCATCCAAAATGTACTATGTCATTTTTTGGTCAAAGGAGAACAGATCTAAAAGCTCTCTATACTTTGATAAGAAATAACACAGGCTTTCAAATTTATGTTGAGCCCAAAGTATGGTCAAAACAGACTTTACTGATGGTTTGGTTGTTTTTGTTTTTTTTTTTACAGACGTTACAGTTACAAAAGATATTACAATGTGGGTTTGGCAGATAGAAATTCTATGGACATGCAAGTCTACAACCATGGTCACAGGGAAAAAAAGGGCATATCTAATTAACATCTAGAACCACAAAGGGAGAACAATTATTCTTTGATTACTTCTAGATTTTTTATTGTTAGAAATGTTGTTTAGCCAGCATCATTGATTATTCATACCATTGCCTGTTTTTTGTCTAAATTAGGAAAAAAGTAGCAGGCATGTGGAATGTAGACTCTTAAGCCTACTTTTCTTCTTTCTTTTAAGACTAACAGGCTTTGTACATGACATGTATGGGAAGAAGTGATGCCACAATTTATGTCAAAAGACTGAAATTTGGGAGATGAATCACAGTGAATAGATACTCATAATCTGACAGATGTCAGTTTTGCAAAATATATACAGTTCTGTTCAGCAAGCTCAATATGTGTCTGGTGATTCAGATTTATTTGGTTGAACAGTTAATCTCTGAAAAACAGTTTTTCAGTATTCTGGAATGGCTTGTCAGAATACAGCTGCCAAATACCCTGAGCATTCTCTGTCTCTACTCATCTTCCCTTCTCCTGCTGGTCCCCTTTGTAAAGGGAGAGCAAATGGTCCATTTTCAAAAACTCTGAACAGATTAACATAGACCATGGCTTTCCCAGACACTTCTTGAGTGCCATGAGTGCCAGAGGGAAAATTGGTAAAACCTTTTTCCTTGCATCTTAAAGCTGCTTCCTCTTGCTAAGAGTGGGAATAGATTAGATAAGACAAGCTGCCTGACTTAGAATGAGGTAGAAAAGATAGTCATGGGTCAGGTAGAGGTACAGTATTTGTCAGGACATAAGAAGCACAGCACCAGCTAGGCTTGGTAAACAGAAAAGGAGGGAAGCTCTTTAATTAGCAGAATGTGTAATTAAATCTGAGTCCTGGTGTTCTTTTGCTATCATAAAATATATGAGATATCTACTAGCAAAGTATGTCTTACTCACTTCTAAGCTCTGACCTATATTGCATTTATAGTGGGGATTTTATTAGTGCAGTCTGACTCTGACAGCAGCATGTACTAAGAATTTAAAGATTAGAACCCTGTTATTACAGATATCAACATAGGTCCATATGTTCACCCCTAATTAATTATTTATGCCATGACACTGGGAGAACAATAAGGTTATGCTTGCATTCTAGAAGGTAAGTAGACTGTCCCAAGTAATTATAGATCTGTTACCCTGGCATCAATCAATGCCAATATAATCGAAAGTTATTAAGAAATTGTTTTTTAAAAAAATAATTAAATAATGGAAATATAATGAATGCCTGTCAAAGTTGATGTACAGAAAATCAGTCTAGTCAGTCTGTTTGACATTTATATGTTTACTAATCTATAGAGAAAATATATACAGATTCTTATAAGGCAGCTGAACTGTGACTAACAAAAAACAACCTAATTCAAGAATGAACCTTATACAGTGTTAGCAAAGCACATGCTGCTCTGGCTGGAGGACTTGGAAGACAAAAAAGTAGTTGTTAATTGGGAGTCATCATGAATGGGGGTTTACCTTGCACAAGGATTGATGCATGTTATTAGTGGGCTGGTGGGTGGCTAATGATAATCCCTATTTTCCTTATTATTTTAACAAATAAATAGTACTAAGGGCATTTGGTAACATTTGCAGATAATATCAAAATAGGAGAAATAGTGAATAGTGAATGAAGTCAGGGAACTTACTCAACCACTTGGACTGGTTAAGTAAGTTATGGCCATTCAAAGGAACTTATATTGTAACACTGACAAAAGCAAGATCATATCTTTATGAGCAGAAAACATGCTGTCTGTTCATCTATAGGAAGAATAGGAAGAGGAGTTGTTTCCTAGGAAAGAGATTCTGAAAAATATTTCAAGGTCATATGGACAAATGAGTCAACATGGTTCCTACTGTAATGATTTGGCAAAAATAGGTAAATTGAATTGGAAATGAACCACTTGAGAAGTCATTTAAATTTTGCATATGGAATTGGTGCTGGAATCCTGACTAACTATGAGACTTGCATTTTAAAGAGAATGGTGAGCACTTTGAGTGGATAGACAGCTACAGAATAATTGTGGAGAATTACTTTGTAGTTTGAAAACTGAAGAGCCCAGTCTGCCTATTTTTTTTTTAAGAGAAGGGAGAAAGAAATTGTTCAGAAGTGATTTGATTACAATGTTTAAATACTTTCCTGTAGAGAAAATTTGACATTCCTAAGAGCTATTCATTTTAGGGAAGAAAGGCATAGTACAGTAGCATCCTTTTGTTCTGGACTCTGGATCCAAATAAATCCACATTTAGGAAGAAATCTCAAAATTCTTTTCGGTCCAGAGATAGACTCAACAACAGCCCCTAAGATGAAGATTTGAAAATTTCTCTAAAAAGAATGTGAATAACCTTCAGATCAAAACAGGACTGGGGGTAATTTCTTGCATTTGTAAAAAATAAGTAAGTAGCCTTAGTATGCGATAAAATTTAATAGACTGTGATATGCTAGAGATCCCACTAAAGGATTTTAAAAGTATTTTCTGACCTTTGAATTCAGAGGGGAAAAAAAGCATTTTACTAACAAAAATACCTCAAAAGAATGCTAAAGTTCTAAGTCATGCATTCAGAAGGGGCAAAACAGAATGTAGGCTTCCTGAACAAATTTCTCCAAACTGCTATGAAATAGTCCAATTACATGTTCTTAGATGTTCGAAGTCATGTGGAAAACGGATAATGCGTAAAAAGGCACTGCCTGGATAGAGAGTGGAATAGTACCATGGAAATACTATGTGGTCATGCAATTATAAACTTTATTCTAATGAACGTACATGAACAAAACTACTGCTGTTATTTACAAGCTTGTATCTGTAACATCTGTGACCCTTTAATGGGAACAGTGACATTGAAGGGAATGACAAAGAGGCCAAGGCAGTTAAATAGGAAGAGAGTATCTTGAAGGCAGATCTCTGAGACAGCTATAGAGTGCTTTAAAAGTATTGTGGAAGAAAAATACCTCTTTTAGGGTCTGTTTCTGCATTCAAAAGAATTATTTAGACCCAGTTCCTCTTTTCCTTTGTTCTGTTTTAGGTTAACTTGGAAGAAATCTTAAAGGGTATTATGTTTAACTGTCAGATTGATCAGCTGCCTTGTTTATCTAAGCATACTAAGTTGGTTGAGCAGAGCTTGATGGGAGTCTGGAGATGCTGGAATGAAAGAAAAGAGATTCCATTTCTCTGAATTTTGTACATAGTTCTCCAGTCTCAAGAATGATGGAAAACTATGACTGAAGAGCTGTGAGAACTCTACATTTTACTTCATTTTTTGTAGGCTGAAACTGCAGATAGAAGAAATGTCATAACTCTCTGAATAAAAAGAGAATAAGAACTTAATTTTAGTGATTTTTCCCTGTTCTTAGATGCATATAATGGCATAGGAATGGCTTTTTTCTGACATACGCTGCCTCAGGAAGAACTTAAATGGGCTTTTCTCATGGAATAGTAATAGTGAAAAGAAAACAGTACAAAATAAGAAGCAAATATAACAAACCAGTGAATCCATGTGACCTTCTGTTTACAGTCTATAAAGTTGCATTTTACGTGGTACACACTTTTTTATTTGATAAAATTTCATGGCATAATACTTAGATGTTAATTTCCCTTTGCAACATTTTTCTCCTCATCCTCCTTTCATGAAATAAGAAATGAAACTGGTGTAATAGCTTTTTCTTCACACTACATGAAAAAATTGCAACAATCTTGGTGCCTGTAGTAGGAAGAAGTGGTGGGAATTGTATCTTCTTGTGAATGTTTTCCTGATTGCAGTGATACTCTTCTAATATCACTGAGCCAAATTATGTTAATGGAGTTTCCTTTCTACTCTTTTATACTATGTTGACCATTTCTTATAGCACATTAACCATAGTGCTAATACAAAACGTGTACTTCTGTTGTTTTGGTGACCTACTGTATTTAAATATGAAAAGAGGTTTTATAAGGTGCAATTGTGGTCTTCATGATTTGAGAATTAA